TAACCCCCCAGAAATTACAGATCCAACAACAGCTGAAAACTGTTTCATGATGTCAAATGGAATTGTTACAACCTGACTGATCTTAGGAATCCCAACGGTTTGAGCAGGACAACCTGGAAGGCATGGTCATGTGCCTGAGGCAGTGAGGGCTCTCCTCGGGGCCCTGCCTGCCCCATGATATCACAAAGGGTGCCGTGCCTGCCCCATGATATCACAAAGGATGCCCTGCCTGCCCCTTGATGTCACAAAGGATGCCCTGCCTGCCCTGTGATATCACAAAGGGTGCCGTGCCTGCCCCTTGATGTCACAAAGGGTGCCGTGCCTGCCCCATGATATCACAAAGGATGCCCTGCCTGCCCCGTGATATCACAAAGGGTGCCTTGCCTGCCCTGTGATGTCACAAAGGGGGCCTTGCCTGCCCTGTGATGTCACAAAGGGTGCCTTGCCTGCCCCGTGATATCACAAAGGGTGCCCTGCCTGCCCTGTGATATCACAAAGGATGCCCTGCCTGCCCCTTGATGTCACAAAGGGTGCCGTGCCTGCCCCGTGATATCACAAAGGATGCCCTGCCTGCCCCTTGATGTCACAAAGGGTGCCCTGCCTGCCCCGTGGTATCACAAAGGATGCCCTGCCTGCCCCTTGATGTCACAAAGGGTGCCGTGCCTGCCCCGTGATGTCACAAAGGGTGCCCTGCCTCCCCCGTGATATCACAAAGGGTGCCCTGCCTGCCCTGTGATGTCACAAAGGGGGCCTTGCCTGCCCTGTGATGTCTCTGAGGGGGCTCTGCTTGCCCCACGCTGTCACAAAGGGCTGTAACGGGCCATGGGACACTGGGCACTGCAGATGGGCACCACCTCAGCCTCTGCCAGCCCAACAGGGTTGGGATCCTATCACTGGGATCCCACAGGTCACTGGGGAGGCTTTTCCCCAGCCTGTGGTGGTGACCTGGAGCGCCAGGGATGGTGCCATGAGGTACCTCAACATCTTCACCGCAGGGGAGCTGGTTGCAGTCACGATCCTGGTGCTGCAGCTCATCCTGGTCGCTGCTGTGCTGCGGGACAAGCGTCTATGGGTAGGTGCCTCTGCACCGCTCTGTGGGCTGGGCTGGGCTGGAGTAGCGTGTGGAGCGTCGTGGAGGGTGTGGGGTGGGCCCAGGAGCTGCTGCTGTCTCACCCATCTGTGGTTCCTGCAGAGGATCCGGCAGCACTGGAAGCAGCCAAGGGCAGCAATAGCCCGGCTGGAGGAGCAGAGCAGCTTGGACAGGGCACAGAAGTCAGCAGAAGTGTCCCCTGGCAGCTCCCGACAAAGTTCCATGAACTACAGGAAGCAAAGGTTCATCCAAAGCTCCCAGGACACCTGGGTGCTCTTTGAGGAGCAGCACAGGGAGCTGGAGGCACAGCTGGCCCGGCAGCAATACAGGGGAGGGGACTGCAGGGTGCTCCAGACCGAGATGCTGGTGGAGCTGCCGGGACTGCTGGGGGGCAGAGAGTCTCCCCAGTGCCTTGCAGTGGAGCTGCCGGGGCCGGACATGAACAAGGGAGCAGAAGAGGCCAAACGTAAGACCACAGGACAGTGCAGCAGGGACTACACGACACTGCAACGCAGAAGATCCATGGCCAGGCTTCTACCTAGACTAGTGGTGATTGTAAATCCCACAGTGTTGGAAAGCTGCAGCAGCAGCAGTAGCAGCTCCACGGAGGTGGAATACAGCAGCACCACCACTGGATGGTTCCTGGGGAAGCTCCGTGCACGGCTCCAGAGATACCTGGAAGCCTCGCAGACACACTTTGTTCAGCGCCGCCGGGGCTTCTGCATCCACCTGAGGTCCCAGTGGTGGTGGCGGTGCTGGACCCAGAGGAGAAAAGGGCGTAGTAATCATGAGTAGTCAGGGAGGGGTGGAGGAATGGGGTGCTTCAGGAACCATCTGGACAGCCCAATCCCTGCCCCTCTCCAGATCCCTCTGTAGAGCCCTCCTGTCCTCTAGCAGACACACACCCTCACCCAACCTGTCCTCTGCAAACTGACTGAGGGTCCCCTCCTCTTGCCCATCCACCAATGCTGTAGCACCATCGCAGACGGTCACCAATTTTGTCAAACGTGATTTTGCCTTTATAAAGCCACACTGGCTGTTACAAATCATCTCTTTGTTTTCCATTAGCCTTATCATAGTTTTCAAGAGAATCTGCTCCGTCATCTTGCTTGGCACAGAGGTAACACTGACTGGTCTGTAGTTCCCTGGGTCTTCTGCTTTCCCCTTTTTAAAAATGGGGGGTTACATTTCCCTTTTTCTAGTCATCAGGAACTTCATGTAACTGCCACAATTTTTCAAAAATGATAAATAGTGGCTTACCATCTTTGTCTGCCAATTCCCTCAGGACCCATGGATGGATTTCATTTGGTCCCATGGACTTGTTTATATTCAGGTTCCTTAGATGGTCTCAGATCTGATCTTCTCCTACAAGGGGCTCAGGCTCTTCATTCTCCCACTTCCTGCATTTGCCTTTCCAACTTGGGTGGCATGGCCAGACTCAATTCTAATGGCCTTGGCTTCCCTAACCTTGTCCCCTAGCTTCTCTTACAATTTCCCTGTGTTCCTCCCAGGCTATCCCTCATTTCCACTTCCTGAGAGCTGCTTATTTTGCTCTGCTCACCAGTTCCTTATCCATCCATGGAAGCCTCGTGGCATTTCTGCCCCATTTCCTCCCTGTTGGGATGCATTGCTCCCAAGCTTGGAGGAGCTGATCCCTGAAATTCAGCCAGCTTCATGGCTGAGGAGGGATGGGCCCTGCTGGGCAGCTCCTGGGGATCACCTGGGCCCACGTTCTGCAGGGAGCTGCTTGGGGGGAGCGGTGCAGCATTCGGGTCTCTCAAGGAGAGCTGGTGAGAGTGTCTCCCAGCCCTGGGGAAGCACCTGGATTCTCCTGGACATGGAGCATTGCCCAGGGAAGGGGCCGGGGGTTGAACCCTGTGCCGAGGGGCAGTGCAGGAGGGGGAGCAGCACCTAAGAGGGTGGGGCAGAGTGGGGGCACAGGGAAGATCATTCTCACTCTGCTTTCAATTTCATCTTCCCAGGCCCTGCCCAGTGCATTCCAGTGACCCCAGAAAATGAGGGGTTTGAGGGGAAAATGGGTTTAAATTGAGGCCTCCAGTTGTGATTCCAAGTGTTTCAATTGAAGAAAAACCTGCCTTTTCCATGTTTTTAGAGGTTTTAATTGACATGGAATCCCTTATTCCCTTATTTTTTGGTTGAAATGGAAGGGGACAACCTTTCTGAGGCCATTTTCATCATCTGAAGGTTTAAATTGAGGGAGAATCCGTGTAGTGCCTCATTTTTGAGAGTTTGAGAGGAACCTCTATATGTGCCATTTTAAGAGTTCCATCGAGGGGAACCTTCCGTTATAAGGGACCCTCATGGGGAAAAAAAAAGATATAAAAAAGCCACAAAAATAGTGCTTCTTGAGGGGAAAAAGAGTGGTGGGAAGGGGAGGCATTTTAAAAAATAATAATTAAAAAAATTAAAAAGAAAACTAAACTGAAAATAACATAAAAAGAATAAAAAGAGAAAATTGAAAATAAACACAACAAAAATAAAATTAAAAAGAAAAATAAATAAAATACAAAATAAATTAAAAAAGAAAGAGCAAATAGGCATTGTGTTTAAGGGAATAGCAGGGGAGCCTTTCCTTTGCCCAGAGGAGCTGCAGTGTTTCCCTCTATGGAAAAATAAGAAAGAAAAAATAAAAATAACATAAAAAATTAAATTTAAAAAAAATGAAAAATTAAAAAGGGAAAATAAATGAAATAAAAAGAAAGTAAAAATAAAGAATATAATATAAAATAAAATAAATGTAAAAAAGAAAATTAAATCCAAGAAAACTAAAAGGGAAATAAAATTGAAATAAAAGAGAAAAAGTCCTTTTTGGGGACCCCATTTACTCTCTCCCTAAACCCCTGAACCCCAAATTGGGTGCCACCCTTAAAATGGGAGGGGGGAAACCCCAAAAAGTGGGTGGGGGACCCCAAAAATTAGAGGGTGCATACCAAAAATGGGGGAAGATCCCCAAGGACCTTACAAATTGGAGGGGGAGCCCAAAATGGCAAGGAGGGGCTCCAAAAATGGGTACGGGGACCCCTAAAAGTAGGGAAACCCCCTCAAAAAGGGGGTGGAGACCCACCCAAAATGTTGGAAAGGAGCCCCAAAAATGGGTGGGGACTCACAAAAGTGAATGAGGACCCCTAGAAGTGGGAGAGGAGACCCAAAAATATGGCTGGTGACCCCAAAAAATGTCAGGGAAGGGCCCTAAAACCTCCCCAAAATGGGGGTAGGGAAGCCCAAAAGGGGCAGCGGAACACCAATGATGCCCCCCCGGCCCCATTTTGGGTGTCAAGGGGGTGTCACTCCTCCCTTTCTTCCCCCTTGTCCCCTCCCATCCCACCTTGGGGGCGTGGCCACCTCACAAAGCCTTTATGGAAAATAACTAATAAAGTAAAATAAAAAAAAAACAACTTAAAAAATAAAACAAAATAAATAAAAACAAACCCAACAAAAATAAATAAAAATAAAATAAATTAAAAAGAAAAACAAAATTAAAGAAAAATAGGATACAAAATAAAAAAAAGGAAAAATAACATAAATATAAAAATATATATATAAAAAAAAAAACAAACAAAAAACCTGGGATGGGTGGGAATCGCTGCTTCCAACTCAGCATATTCTGTGATTCTGTGATTCCATGTGTCTTATAAAAGATCTAGGTACAAGAGTAGTTCCAGTATCTACAAAACAATTTCTTGTCTTTATTGCTGAAGTCCGGAGTTGTTTGTCAGGTTGCAGGATGTCTTAAAGAAATAGTACTCCAGGCCACTGGGAGGGAGTCAAAACCCAAAGAAACCCCAAATCCTACTGAGGGACTCGTACAAAGGAACAAAGCCAATATTGCCATCAACAGCTTCAAAACCTGTTCAAAATTCTAGGACAGTGATACTGGGATTCACAGGAATCTTCTTAGTGCTCTTAGTTCCATTTTAATGTATTTTTAGTCCTCAAGGAGCAGCTTGGAAAACTTACCCTGGGATTTAGAGTTCAAGCAGGGCTTGCTTTGGATTGCCTTGCCCCTGTGGCCCCAGCTGGTGCAAACACAACTTGGGCCAATGTGGTTAAACACACTTTCCTACCAAAACAGTTGCTGTATCCCCTAGAAATTACCCCAAGTTTCCAGATAAAAATGTCACCTCTGTCCCCACTGAGTCACCCCAGGTTTTGCCAGTTGGGAGCTGCAAGGAGGCTGTAAATTCAAAGGCAGAAGGAGAAGATCTATCAGCAAAAGGCCGAAAGAAGGGGACAGGTTTCAGAAAACATTTCTGCAATATCATTAATAACTATTTCCAGTTTCCCAGTGAGAAGAACATGAATGCACTGCCACCAAGGCCTGACAGTCCCTGCAGCCAGAGCTCAGCACACATCCAGAGAGGCAAGTCCAGCACCTGAAAGGAAAAAAGAAGAGAGAATTTTTTTTTTTAAAAAAGTCATTTCAAGTTCTTCCAAGCAAAGCAAGACTTGCTCTGGTTTCAGGTGGGTGCACAGTGAGAGGTGGGCACAGGGCACGTTGTTAATGCCCACGGGGATGGTGCTTTCTGGGGGAAGAGCAGCTGACTGATGGCCCAAGTCCAGTTGCTGCCCAGGACTGATTTGCACAGGACAAACCCTCTGGCAGGAAGGGGTTTTGTTCCCTGTAATGGTCTTTGCCCTGTGTGTCCCTGTGGACAGTGCCAGGCTGGGGACAGGCACAGGGAGTTCTCAGCACTCTCTGCTCCAAACAGCCTTTGCTGGCCCTGCAGCCCCAGGGATCGAGGGGGGCCGGAGGCGGTGGCCCAGGAAAGGCCCCTCTGCTCCCCCCGGGGCAGCTCCACAGCCCCCCTGCCCTCTGTTCCTCAGGAGCCTCCCTGTTCCCCCAGCTGGCACAGAGTCCAATCTGATCCCAGAGGCTCCCAGGTCATGCAGCCCAACTGCCAAGGAGATCACAGACTCTCTGGCCTTCGCTTTAAACCTCTCCAGAACACCAGCAAGGTCAGGCTGAGTAAAATCCTCCACCGCATCAGGCCTGATGGGATAACCATCGGGGTCACCTTCCACTTTCCCTCCTGTTACTAGCTGTGCTTCAGCAAACACTTCACCCTCTGAACCACGCTCTAAAGCAGTTAAATCACAAGCATCTCCATCCCAGTTTTTGGGATCCCAACCTATCCCTGCCTCTGCAGTCACAGCATGCACTGGTTTACTTGACCACTGCGCTTCTCATATTTATATTGGGTTACCTGGAGAGTCACTTCTGCTACTGTTTGACAACTGTCTAACCTGGCCATTCACAGGCCACAGCTGTTTTCCACTGGTCCACACCACAGGAACAACTGCATCTGCCACTTCAGTCAGGACGGTGCTGCTGACAGGAGTTATTTCCTGCACAAGAGCTGCTGCTCTCACACATTTTGTTTCAGGAAGTACAATCTCAATATCCTCGGTTTTCAATTTCATTTCTGTCTCAACTTTTCCAGGAAATCTCTTCCTAGCAGAGGTTTAGGGGAGCTTGCAAACATTGTGAGGAATTACTCACTGTTTGCCCAGTTTAACCCCTGTCATGCCACAAACCTTAACAGTGACATCCCTTAGTTCCCCCTCTGTTGTGTTAAGGACTCAGGAAGTTGGACCTGTGTCTGACTTACACATGTGCAAACCAAATGGTGGGGATTAGAACCCACACCTTGCACTCCTGTAGCTCTTACAATGACAGTCAAGAGAAAACAGTCAATGGCACCATCACCACTCATTCCTTAATTCCAATCCCACGTTCCTTTTGCCATTAGAGCACCACTTTTATAACCCAGTTCCAAGTCCATTCCAGAGCTGCATGGCCAAGATGGACAGCTCCACCTCTGATACTCTCAGGAATGCCTGAATCCATTCCAGGGACCTTGCTTTGAGCTCCCCAGCTTGGGACACTCGGAGGAGCTCCCTAAAGAACCCTTTCGGTGCGCGCCGGAGTCCTCCGAGGCCCCGAGCCCGGGGGGCACCAACAGCACTGTCCCTCTAGGGG